CACCTTACCTTAGGAAGGACATTGAATTGTTGGAAAGGGTTCAGAGAAGGTTACTAGAATGGTGCCTGGGATGGAGGGATTGTCATACAACAAGAAGCTGAAATCTCTGAAATTGTTTTCTTTTGGAAAAAGAAGAGTTAGAGAGGATCTGATTGAGGTGTTTAAAATTAGTGTTGTGTTGATGTATCATCTTTTTTCGTATTAAACACTGAGAATCATAGGACTAGGAGAGACAAATATAAATTTCGGCAGAGTAGGAGTCACCTTCAGCCAAGACAGTTTTATTTTTGTAACAGGGTGGTTGGTCTTTGGAATGGGTTGTCTTTGGATGCTGTGGAGGCAATAAATTTAAGTGAGTTTAAGAGAATCTTTGATAAGTATATGAATGATAAGGGCTGGGTTTAAGATTTTTTTTTAATAATAGTTTTAGTTTAATTTAGAGGATGGGACAGCCAAGATGGACCAATAGGTCTCATGTTTTCCCAGAACATGATGTTATATGTTATTTTCATGTCTTATCATGCTATAGCTGAATTAGTTTGTAGTTTAATCATTATTCTTTGACATTACTAATTGAACTGGACTATCTTTGTGAGATTCTCTGTTTACCTCAAACATCTGCAGTGTGTGTGTGATATACATTTGAAAATTTTAATAAAACTGACTTTGTAAACTTCTAACTGTTTGTATTATTACTTTTAAAATTCAGCTCGTTTTCCATCATTGAAATTGGAATATTTGTTATGAGTAAGAATACAAGTGTACGTGTATCTAATATATATATGTTCAATGAAGAACAAAATAGTTGATGGTTTGTCAAATACTGTTTCTTCAACCGAATGTTTTTCTACATTATACCTGATTTAAAATCTTATATGGCGTAAAGTTTAAGTCTTGTTGGTAATTGGTCTATGTTTGTCTTTTCACAAAAGCTAAAGGCATAATAAGTTATGAAAAACATCAAAACATTCAATTATAAATGGTATTTTCTGTTATTGTAATGTTTTAAATGGGAATACGTACTTCTAATTTTTATTTACTAGCTATTAATAACAAGTAGCATATTATACAGATTTTATACGGCACCTGATAAATATAAACACTGTTTGTCTGTTGTTGTTTTTTAAATCACTTTATGTGACTGTTTGTTACACGTGTAGAACTTCTGCAGTCCTTGAAGAATGCTGTAGATGTTCACCAGCAAGCTAAGAAAGATTATTTTGAGCAACAGAAACAAGAGAGTTCTTCTGAAATGGTGAAGAAAGTGCGTGACTATCAGATCACTGAGAGCAGGCTTCGAGCAATTGAAGAAAAACTTGGTATGGAACAAATCCTACTGTGATATCTGAAGTAGGATTGTTATAATTTCAAAACAATCTATATACTACTAAAACTCTGAGATTGTTTGTGTGTGTGTGCTTGTCTGTAATTAAATACAGCAAAAACGGTGCATAATACTGGCATATATGTAATGAAATGAGAATAGAAACAGAATAAAACAAGTTTCGTTAAAATCGGGCCACGGGTTATCGAGTTAGCCCCATTTTTCGGGTCACTTTTATGAAAATTTTAAGATAAATTTAGGTACACTAGATGGCGCCACATCTTGGTTTTTCTATCTATCTATTCGTTTTCCACTTGATGAATCTTCTATACAACAATATATGCACAACAGAAATTAAATGATGAGATGAA